GGGAGCCGGGCACCGCACCCCCTGGGGCTGTCCCCGCTTGAGGAAGGTTTTTTCCCCCCCGCCCCAGCCCTGCGAGGGAAGGAACATCGTTAGTTGAAGGGTTTGGAAGCAACAGGTAAGTGGGGAGCCAGGGCTGCAGCCCCGGGGATCATCCGTAAGCTGGAGGCTCATCCTCTTCCGCGGCACCTGCTGCCCGTGCACGACCTCGTTTTCCGCAGGCAGGTGTGGATTTTGGTAACTGAAGAGCATCGACCAAGCTTCACCCCACACAGAAAAAGAAACGAGGAGCCATTTTGGTAACTGGGCTTTATAAGTGATTTCAACAAACCTTTCTCTGAAAAATGAGCTACTAATTACTTCCATCGTCCATCTTCTCTCTGCTCACTGGGAGTGAAACAGGATGGGGTTTCCTGTTCTGTTCTTGGCTTTGTTCCTCTGCTGCATGCGCCGAATCTTCCCATTTCAGTCTCCAATGTGTGAGAGGGACACTGCCACACCACCCAGACATCTGTCAGTGATGGCATGAGTGGAAACTGAAGGGAAGGCATGGCTGGAACTCCAGCCTGCTATGGGAATTCCCACAGTCAACACAATGCTGACAGGTTTTCATTACTAAACCAACCCTCTCCCAAGCCATGGAACTCCCCCCGCTCCCCAACAGGTGTGAGATACACCCGTGTGGGTGAACCTGAATAAAGTTCTGTCTTGACAATATTAATGTCAAAGCTTGTTTGCTACCAGAGACTTTTGTCTTCCGTGTTCATGACCATCCCATTCAGGTAGCCACCATATCCAAAACCCTTCATAACAACCAAGATTTGAAGGTTTCTTCATATATGGAAAGCTCATAAAGGCCACTTTAGCAACATAACAAAACCTCCTGTCCACCTTCCCTCACCCCCATACAGATAAGCAAAGGCAATGGAGAAGAACTTCCTGGGGCTGGATAGTCCCCACCTGGACAACTTGCGCTCTGAGCATCCCACCACAAAGCAGTAGTGGGGTAAGCACAAGGAGACAGCTTCTCGGAGACAACAAGCACCTTACCCAATTCATACCCTGCACATGGCTGATGACAGTGTCCCACACTGGAGGAAGTCCCCACCCCAACAGGAAATTACTGCCAGGGCCACTTCCACCACTGCTACCTGGCTGAGGCAATGCGGGGTGATGAAAACAGGAAGGCAAAAGCAGACAGTTTGAGAAACAAGCAAATGCTGCAATCGGGCTCCCTCCCTCTCCACAGGTAATCTGGGACTGGGCCCTGCCTCCCACCCATGGAGAAGAGGAGGATTCAGTTCTCAACACAGGCCAAGCAGAACACAATTTGGTAACTCAGCTCAGCAGTTTCTGAATGCTCACTGTGCTTTGGAAGTGCTGAAGTCATCTTCGGGTTTCCATGACTTCACAAGCACACTGGCACTAATTAGCACACAGACCCAGGTTAAGTGATTGTTCATCCTCCAGGGAAATCTGTACAGGGATCGTTACTGCTTTGAAGTCACAGGCTCCCTGGCCTGCTCCCCTTTCATCACACCACCTCTACCATACAGATGAAGGCAATCCCAGCAGAGAGACCCATCTTGCATCCCAAATGTCTCCTCATTTCCAGCAAAGGATACACAATGTCCTGATGTTTCACACAAATGCTTCTCTGTCCCAGCAGGTGCTCCAGCAAGGTCTGAATGGCCCCTGGCTCCACCTGGCAGTGACTGCTCTGAATCTGAGCAGTCAGAAGAAAGAATGACTTCCAGACCAACAGGAAACTGTTGGGCTTGTTCCTTCAAACCTCCCTCCCTCTTCTCCATACAGAGCAATTAGACCTTCAAACTTGTGATCTGGGGAGAATCAAGGAGCCCCCAGTATAATGACACAATTTAGGCAGCTGTTGGCATCTCTGTATGTCATTCTGATTTCATCATACATCCCTCAGGGCAGCAGGCCAAGCTAGCAGCTGCAGGTTCCTTCTTCATCTTACTATAACCTCCTCAATGGAAGTTTATGGCTCCCCATCAAAAGCTAAATCAACCCCTCAGGGATCTTCTTCTCATTTTCCAAGGCAGTCACCACTCTCTTACCTGACAAAGGAAGAGATGAAGAGCATGAGATGTGGCTGCAGGCAGCTCTGCTAAGTTGGCTTCTGCTGCCTCCTGGAGAATCTGGCTAATGTCTTTTTGAGAAATAATATTGCTGCTCTGGTATCTCAGAAACTTGAACAAAGGAGAATAAAAAAGAGGCATTAAATAGTGAAAGACCCACAGACTCCAATAGTGACTCATCTCCTGGAAAGACCTCTTCTGTGAAGTGAAATGCTGCAACACCTTAACCACAGGCCTGGTTTTTATATCCCTTTTTATATCACTTCTAATAGAACCAGTGTGATGGTGATGCTCTGATTTATAACCAGACATATTTTGGTTTAGGTCAGTGCCCTGGTTTGAGCCAGGAAGAAGCCAACTTTCATTTTACTGATTTTTTTCCTTGAGTAAGCTTTCTTTTAACTAGTAGCAGAGTGTTCCAACTAGGACTGATAAGGGTGGAATGTTTTTCTAAGTGCTGGGTCTTCAAGGTCACATCTTCACTCTGCCAGCTCAGACACTACAGGGACACCAATGATCCCCCCGTAGGAGGCTGAGTTAGACAGACAGCAAAACTGGCCAGGGATATTCCATATATCTACGTAAGCTCAGAGGAAGGTCAGAGATCACAGAAGACCATTTCCTTGCTGCTACTTCTTCCCTTCTCTTCCATCCATGGCCGGCGTCCGGGGAGGACTCCGTCCGTCCATCCATCACCATTGGCCCCCAGGCTCAAGCTCTCCTGACCCTCATCACTCTGTGCTTTCTCCAGCAGCTCCAGGATTTTTTGGGACTGTTCACAGCTCAGGAGATGCTGTGGGAGTTGCTGGGGCTGAGGAGAGGCAATAGGGGTTTTGCACATATCTGAACATATTTGTCTAATAATTGTATATATTTTCTTTTATCATTAGTGTTTAATTAAAGCTGTGTAGTTTAGTTTTTAATCCAGCCAAGTCTTTTTTTCTCTCTCTCCTTCCCTACCTGGGTGGGATCAAGAGCATTGTTGTCGGACCTGAGTCAAAGGGTGACAGTCAGGAAGGACATTAAACAAATCAGGTAACCTTTAAAATGTGAAGTAAGAGTAACAAAGCTTCAAAGACCCATCATGTATTTGGAAGGGGAAGGTTCACATTAATAACCCCTTCCTCTCACCCACTGCCATGAGGGCTTTATCTTCAGTATTTGATAGGTAGGATGACATTCCCTCCTTTGCTCACAGGTCCCAGGTACAGCAGGCTAATAGGTTACAGTAACTGAAAAGACAGGTCTGTACAGTTAAAGACAGGGAGACAAGACATGATGCCAAGCAGAGGTCTGCTCTCCAGAGAGCTGCAACATGCTCCCTGACTGGCAACAGCAGTTGCATGTTCTCTGCAGGTTTCCCCTGTCATCCCCAGGGGTCTTGGATGATATAAATAAATGCTATAAACACCAGAAGAACAGGATGTGCTCAGTAACAGCAGTCAGTTTCTGCAGGGTGTGGAAGGGAAGTTTACTTGAAAGTATCATTATAGGGCACAACTACAGTGACAGACAAAGCCATGGCAGTCTCTGAGATTGTGTGTGTGTGTGTGTGTGTGTGTGTGTGTGTGTAGGGGGTAAGTTCCAATAACTGATCCACATGCACTTGTACCAACATACTGGAAAAAATGGAGAACACCCTGCCCTTCCCCTGCTCACCAAGGTCATCAGCCTGAGAACTTCTGGCTGCAGAAGGGACTTCTGGCCCCCATGGAGCAGTGTGAAGAGCAGGAATCGGTGCCAGGGCTGTGAAGCAACATGTAGAGCTGGGAGAGAAGGAGAGATCAATCAAACACAGCTTTCATATTGGCCAAGTGACAGGCTGGACCTGGATATGGACAGTCTTCAATACTGACCCCCAGTTTTCTCTTCCAGACCCCACACTGTGAAACACTATGGGGATATTTTGCCCTTGTTCTTACTTGCTTTTTAATCTGTCACTCTTTGGCCAAGAGTTTAGTCATAAGGACAAAAGCTTAATAGCTTTTTAAAGAAGAAAATACATTTTGTCCATCTTTTTTTTGTGCTGGTACAGGAAAAGAAACCTTCTCCTGGGGTGCGTGTCACAAAATAGTAAGGGGATATCTTTAGCCAGGGTTTTAAAAATAATAGCCTTTGGTTTCAATATGAGGACAAGTTTCCTGACCATGGGTTTTATTTAGCTGCAGAATACTCTGGGGAATTAAGAAAGACCTACAACATTAGATGCACAAACCAAGGCTGGATCTGCATCAGAGTGTATTCTACAGGGACCAGCCAGGCTGGTGGCAGCAAAGTGACAGGTTCAGCTGCTGCTGAAGCAGCATTTAATTAGCTTACTCTCAAATTAGTGGAACCTTCCCATAACATGGCACCTTTGTTTGTTTGTTTGTTTTTAACCCAGCCTTTAAATATCTTCCCTTCAGCTACTGACTGTCATTCATCTGCAGTATTGCATTTTCTTTCAACCACTTCCTCTCTCCCACCAATGTCCAGTTCGTCTGGTGTTCAGTCACTCCACCTCCTTCTTTCTCAATGCTTAAATGACTGTACTGAACAGGTCAAGGTACAGAGAACTTGCTGTCTCTCTTTTAAGATCAGAGCCAGTACCTGGACTTTGTGGCAGAAGGCTGATAATAAACAGAAGGGTCTATTCTTCCCCTGACTGTACAAGGCTGTCATGTTATGCTATATTGCTAACATGGTATACATTGGGTCTGACATGGACCCTGGAAACCAAGGTCTGCCTTTGCCCCTGGAAATCCAGAATTTCCAGCTTCTATTCCCTAAGGCTGCCCAGTATCCTGCTCTTCCATCCCCTCCCTCAGGGCCAAATTGTGACCAACACTGTCCATGTGGAAGACATATCATAGTCAGATCCTGTCTCCCCTGTATTTATGGTCCAAAGGTTTGCCACAATTGCCTTGGAAGTGAAAGACTATTTCTATACTCTCTCCATTCCTAAACCTTTAACTCTTACCACATGGGAAGGGAGGGAATAACTTTTTTTTTTCCCTCCTGGAAAGCATCTTGGTGTCCAGATTCAAAGTGAGGGTTCATGCCTGCAGGGGGGCCAGGCACTGTGATTTCAACCCACAAAGCATATGATTAATTTTAGACATAAAATATTTTTTTCTTATTTGGCATAAACTCATTAAGCATCTGCTCCAGGCTGCTACTGGATGGAGATCAAAGAGTTCAGAATCACTTCAGGAGGGAAACCTGGGAGAAGAGAGACCAGGAAGACTTTACCAACATCCTGGTTCTTGGCATACAGGTACTCCACTAAAGTTTCCAGGCAGGCAACTACAGCTTGAGAGAGCAGCAAGTCTTTCTGGAATACCAAGAGGGAGAAAAAAAGAAAACAAAAACCAGTCAACAGCTATTGCAAGAGAGAAATTAATAAAGTGGCAGGATCTGAAGAGAATGCAACACAGAAAAATAACACCTTTCATCTCCTTCACAGGATGCAACGTGCTGCAAATTAGCTGTCACGTCAAGAAGTCAGACAAAGGCACAACTACTTATTCTGAGACTAAAAAAAACATTAAGTAACAGCCTCCAAAGAATAAAGATGGGAGCCCAACATTGCTGGAGAGTCAGATGTAAGCTGATGTATTATCCCCTGGAGCCTAACATCACTAGAGCAAGTTAAATTTACACTGTCTTACTACCTCCCAAAGCACCTTGCCAGGGTGTGGGGAAGGAATTGGGATTTGTTCCACTTTTCCCACCTCTGTCCCTATGGGTGTGGCATCCCTGCAGAGCAGGAAATGGGAAAACAGAGATCATCATTAGTGCAGAGAGTTTCAGCTATCCAGTTCAGCAGCAGGGAGTACTGCACAGCTTCATTTACCACCCTTCTCACTGCCTCATGATGCAGAAAGGGCTCTTTTCCTCCTCATCATCACATGTCTGTAGGGGGTGGAAAATGCAGGCAGAAGCAAAAAAAAAAAAGGCTGCCCCATAGGTTTCTGAGAGAGGGTGGGTTCTGCTGAGGTCAGCGTACCTGCGTGAAGCCCAAAACACCAGTGGTGTTCCGAAAGTCGTGTTTGACATACCTGCAACTGGACATGCACCAAAAGGTTCTGCAGACTGACAACAAGTGAGAAGACCTGCTGCGTGGCCAGGGGGTGTAGGGCAGCATCCTGCAGTGATGATGGCTGTGGTTGCACAGCACCTTGGGCTGTGTTTTGGCCAATGATCACCAGCAGAGAGGAGAAGTTCTGTCGCAGGATAGCTCTCAGGAATTGCATGATGCTCACTAGACAGGGAGCAGCTTATTATTGTGTGTCAGTGATTTCCTCTCCCTCTCAGTGATTTGGTCTTAAGTGCCCAGTGGAATTGCCCAGCAGCTGCTGACAGATGCAGGCAGGAATGACAACATGAGTTATCTCGTTTGGCTCCTCCCTCTGAGACACTATCCCCGTTCACACTCAGTTCCAGATGTCACTACCAACTTCCAAGGAAGATTGTCCAAACACAGCAGAACTCCAGATCTTTCCCTTTTGCCCTTTCTCACCACCAGTTACAAATGGACCAAAGCTTCCACATTCCCACCAGCACCTGCACTATCCCATCCCACAGTCATCAGTTTTCCCTTGTTGCCTGTAGCATAGTACTAGCAGCTGCTTCCAGTCAAATCCCCATAATGGATACAAAATACCTAACAGGAGGATTGGCTTCTTCTTCCTGAAAATGACTGCATCCAGGACTTTTGTTAGGTCTAGAGAGAGAGTCTGGTGAACCTAGAGGAGAATGAAATATAGGAGAATAAATGGTGCTGGTTTGGACCAGGTAAAAAGCTCCCTTACAGCTTCCTTTCAGTTCTTAGACATGACCCCCTGATGAACACTGAAAAACAATGGAACAGCAAGAGGGTTTCAGGAGTCTGATCCAGATGGGACAGTCACATCACTGGGCCCTCAAGTTTCACTCACCACCAGTTGCTAGCCCTGTACAGCTTCCAAACCACAGAGCAACTTGTTAGCCTGTCTCACACTTACTACTCCCTGCAGGCCCCCTGGCACATGGCTGGCAGGCTGCCGAGCACATGGAAAGGCAGCAACAGCCAACACCAAACACGGCTGCACCTTTAGCCCCACAGCCAGTTAGCAAGACTGAGGAGCCAGGTAGCCAAAAACCAGCAGTGATGACAAGAATCTGGCCCTGTCTGCAGGAGCTGGGAAGCCTGCAGAGAGCCCAGGGCTAGGAACTGTGGCATAGGTGAGGGAGACAGGGCAGGTCAGGGACTTGGGAACTGGGTTAACAGGAAAGGTGGGCTTGAGAGGGCAGTCTGCAATACACTGCTTCCCTCACAGAGCAGCCATTCAGCAGTGATGGCATAAAGCCCTAGAAGGGTTCAAGCTCTCCAGTAAGGTAGAGGGAAGAAAGGACAGGCATAGGGACCACAGGGCTGATTCCTTCAAACTGTCTTCTGAAGAGAAAAATGGGAGACCTAAGATTATCTCCTGCAACGGGGTGGCAGTGGTTACCTGTCGAAGAACTGACAAGCGAAAGCCTTTAATAGCCTACTGTCCATGCCCCATGTTTATCCATGGGCTTCTGCTAAAGCCAGTAGCAGCAACACAGTTAACACAAAAGCTTGCTATGCTCAAACCCTCACTATTAACACCAGCCTGATATGAATGTGGCCATTTCTCAGAGCCTTTGTTGCCCTCTAAAAAAACTGCAGGACTGGCATCAAATCACATTTGCAGCCACAAAGGCCAAAGGCTGTATTACAAGGGCCTTCAGGATGCTTTGTGCAGCTTCAGCTATACTGAGTAGCAGAAAGCAGCAAAATAAATAAGTCTTCCTCTTATCCCCTCTCTCTCCCCCTCAGCAGGAGATAAGAAAAACTGAAGCTTAGAAATGCTGAAGATCAGAAATGCTGAAGCATCCTTGAACCACTTCATTTGCCATCTGCATCTGTAGTTTCCCCACCTCTGATGCAAGAAGGATTCTGGATTGCAGGTTTAGCACATCAAGCCAATAGGGTTTTGATGAAGCCAAACAACAGGCTTATAAGCCACTAAATGCTTAGAATCGATATGAGCTGAGAGTCACTCCCAGAAGATAAAGCTCAACACTAGCCACTAGAATTTAGGCACAACACTGACCACCCAGACACAGCCCTGACTTGGAAGCTGAGAAGGTAAATTGTGCTCAGCAGTTGATAGAGCAGGGACAGGCAGGTCTTGCTATGCATTCACATCACTGACATTCCACAAAAGTCCCATGCTATAAGACCTAAGCAGAGACAGCACATCCATGAGGGAACAGGTGTAGACTTCATCTGGATTGGCCTTTTGGAAAATATCTTCTCTCAGCATTACAAACCCAACCCTTGTCTCCCTGTGCAGGTGTATGCCTGTAATGTGATTTTACCATCTGTGAATAGGTGCACTGGCTCCCAAAGCACACACTCTGCTGGACATAACTGCAACAGCAGAGTTCACAGCTTATGACACACTGTGTAACTCCATATAAAGCCAGGGAGAGAGGCCTGGGTAGATACTTCAAAAGGAAACGTTATCCTCTCCTGCTGGCATTAAGAATTGCTTCCCTCAAAGTTGTAATGCCAACATCAGTTGACAACTCCAGCTTAGCTCTCTTGTCAGGCTGCAAAGCAGCAAATGTAATGACAGCTGCCCACATTCATAGGAGCTTGCTAATATTGAATACTTACTTGCCAATAATAGATTCAGGTTTTGACTGTTCCACTATTGATCATTTTAGTACCAAAAAAAGCAGTTTACAACATGGGAGCTTTTTCTTCTACCCACAGCCTTCCTTTGAGACAGGCCTTAAAACGTATTTTGCTCTGTCCCAAATAAGAAAGTGATTTGTGTCAGAGGGGCTGGGTATGCATTTTCCCCCCAGGATTCCTGCCCCTCTCTAACTGTCCAACGATTTGGGTCTCAGTCTTCAGCCACACACTAGCTTCCAGTCCTGCTGGAGAAATGCAGCAGGAAATAACTTGTGGGCAGTAACAAAAGAGCAACCAAGGCAAGCAGATTCCGGGCCAAAGCAAACCACTTTCCTCTGCTAATGAAGGTGGGTTCTTTTGTTTTGTTTTATTTTCAAAGTTTAGCCATTTCCTGGACCTGAACACTGGAGTGGTTCTAACCTCAGTATTGTAGCGATGCTGATAAAGTAAGAGGGATGCAACCAACAGCCACCCAGAGCACAGCAAGGCATCCTCAGGTGATAGGCAAGCAGGTTCAGAGGAAGGGGACTGCAACCAGGTGCATTCCAAGACCTTCTGCAGGAGCTCCAGCAAGGACACATTGGAGAGCAGCACAGCCACTGCTGTGTGGGAGAAAGACAGAGAGGCTGATGGGATAGCACAGGTTAAACCAGCCTGACAAGCAGAAGGGAAGTGCAGAGCACACCCCTGCTACAGTGAGGCAGCCCCAGCTGGCACAGCTCATCAGAGTAAGGCTGTCCAGCTACACTGGTATTCATCTCCCACAGCACAAGTGACCACTCAGCAAGCTAATGACATTACCAGCCTTCAGCTAACACAGCCGGAAGGTTGGCTGGAGCTGTTCTGTATTATTGTTCAGTTTTTTTGAATCATGGCAACACAGGGACATTTTGAACAAAGCACCAAAGCCCCACTGCTGTGTTTTATGAACAGGAAAAATACAGTGGTTCTGTGTCTCAGCAGCCAATTCCCAAATCATCATAAGGCAGCAAAACCTAAACAAAAAGAAAAACATCAACCTGAAAAACGTCATCCCAAATAGAAAATGGCCTTTGTTAAATGTAATGTTGTGTCTGGAAGGGGAAAAATCCACCTTCCCTGCTGAAAACAGTTTTACAATACAGTCTCTGATGGCCAAGCTATAACTTCACTGAGATTAATTTAGCAATCAATACAGTCTTGCCTCACCTCTCTGTTGACTACAAGGTGTTGTCTGATGAAGGCTCCAGTACAGAAAATTCAAGGATGGCTGCAGGAGGTCAGTGTCCCTTGGACTGCATTTCCCACAGAGATTACTGACTGAAAACAAAAGAACGTGCATAACACAGACACCAACACTGCAGAGCATCTCAGCACAAGAAAGAAGTCATTCAGTGGGGAGACAATTCAGATAAGAGCAACACAACCTGAAGTGAAAATAAACAGAGCACGGTACAGATCTAGTGATAGGCATCTGCCCTGGAGTGTTTGCTCTAAACAGGACTATGTGGTGGAGGATGATAACAGAGAGGGAGGAACAGAAAAGGGTATATTAAAGGGTGAAGATCATTTTGGGCAGTAGTGAATCCAAGAGCAACAGACTATAAGTTACCTGTTTCCACAGAGTGAGTTTGATCCTAATATCAGGTCAAGCATAAAGAGCCATGTGCCTGTCTCATGTGGTGACCAGACTTGGGAAGACATGGAGAGCTCACCAACTCTGTTCACACTAGGAATAAATGCTCCACATTTGTTGTAAGCACTGAACACTTAGGAACAATATTTAGCAAGGATTTGGCATGGAAATCCAGGACTGCAAGGCTCAGCAAAACTGTCATAAGAAATCTTTTGAAGAGCTTAAAGTCTGAGTAAGCAATTCTCAAAAAACACACATTAACATGTTTCCCCATGCCCATTCCATCTACAAGCTGGTTTCACATCAGCCTCATCAGAGGAGAGTGCCCTGCACACCCACCCCTGAAGGAGATAGCCTGGGGAGCCAGGCAAGGAATGAAGGGGGTGTCTGGAGCAGGGAGAGAGTTGTGCTGAAAAATACAGAGCTGAAAGCAAGTGCAGGAGCTTCTGACCCCTGGGAGCAGCTGAGCTGTGCTCTGAAATCACAGCAGCTAAAAAGGGCTGATAAGAAAAAAGAGGACATGCTTCTTCCACACCTCAATTCACTTGGCTAATGAATGTCTGAGAAACACTGCTTCTTTATAAGGGCAACACAGGCAGCCCCAAGACATGGAACACTGGAAACTGAAGGGGACAGTCCTTCAAAATCTACTGGAGAGATCAATTTTTCAGAGCAGGGAAGACATGAGTGGATGGATCAGCTGAACTTCCCTCTTTTTTCACAGTCTGCATGAATCTCCAGTAGGCAAGTAAGAAGGGAGAAGTCACCAGGTCATGGTATGGGGAGTAAACAAACAGCCTGTTCTTTTATGTCTCTGAGGTGGAGCAGGCAAGTCCTGTGGATGGTTGGGACCCATGTACTCTGGACTCACCTTTCAGGGACAGCCCAGGTTCACTGGGCTGCTGGGTCTTGGATGGGTGGTTCACAGGACACCCCTGTGGCCTGAACCCCAAAGGAATGTGTTATCAAGTCTGGATGGGGAAAGATGTTTCAGGAAGCACATCATCAACACTATCATGTGCCAAGTGAAAAGCAGTCACAGACCCTGAAATCATGTCACAGCCAGGAAAATACTTCAGCTGCCCTGTAAGGTTTAGGACAACAAATGTATTGTAAAAGCAAGAGGCAGAGAAAATGGGTTTTGTTGACTGAACACCTGGTAACCAGGACTCTTTATAATGCTCTGGCTATGAAAGTATCTCAAAGCAATGATAATTGTAATGCTAGGTACAGCTTCTCTCAAGGAACAAAGAGCCAGCACCTAATCATCATATGGATCAATTAACAAACACAGATCAAAGCCCCCTGGGAGAAGATGGACACACAGACTCACCCTGGTGAAGCAGCTTGAAGTCTGTACTGTCCAGCTCCCTCACATCCTTGCTCCGCAGCTGCACCAGGAAAAGGAGGCTCAGCAAAACGGGCAGGTTCCTGTTAGCTAAGAAGAGCACAACACCTGAGCTTGTCAGTGAACTCTCAACTGTGGCACCTTACAGTGTAAAAAGAACTGTTAATTTTCTGGCTCAGCAGTAAGGGTGGGTTAGAGGAAGAAGTATTCCCCCCTCACACAAGCACACATACACACTCACAAAGTAATTCTCCTCTCTACAGTCCCCTCTGGATCAGGCCCCTTTCTGCCACTGTGGGTTGGCTTGAGACACATGCTGGGTCCTGCCCACACTGCTCTAGGAGCAACTAGAAAAGAGGGAGAGAAAGGAAGCTAGGGTCTTTTACCCCCTTGGTGAACCATGTACAGCATTGAACATGAATAGGGGCATGGTCACTGCACATTCAAATTGACAGGTCAACAAGCTAGAAAGTTACCAGCTCTTTGCCCTCCTCCCATCTACCTGATCACCACTGGCAGCCCATGCTCTGGCAGCAGCCCAGCACCTCAGAGCACTCAGCTGCACAACATTTGTTCTCCAGCATCTTATGAGGCTGGAGAAAGCTATCCATCCCACTCCACAGGGCGGAGCAGAGACAGGCCTCTGGTGAGAGCCCCACAGGGCAGGCCTGTCCACAAGGAGAACAGAGGTGCTCAGCCCACCAAATCCCCATGGCAACCTCCTCCCTGGTGTATTCACTCTTCTGCAGTACTGTAAACAGGTCAAGACTTTGCATTGTGTATAGCCATGCCTACAGCATGCAACTATCACCTCCAGAAAATGTCTTCACAAAGGCTCAGGAGTTTTCAGTTTTTAGGAGAAAACATTATGGGTATCTTTAATGTTAACATATTCTTGATGGAGTCCCACTGTTGGGTCTTCTTGTTGTCCAAGAGCAGGCTGCTGTTTGAACAGGGATGCAGATCCCCTGGACTCTTCTGTCCCAGACCTCTTCCCAGCCTGTGTGCTGGGAGACAAGAGAGTTCTGTCTCCAGAATACATCTAGTGTTTGATTTTCTGAATGTTTCTGCCAGTAACTCAGCTAATGCCTTCAAGATGCAGTATGGGGATATTAGACACAACAGAAGGGCTCTAATCTTGCTACAGCCCCTCTAGCCCAGTGTCCTGTCTCCACTAACAGCAGTTTGGGGAAAAGGTCTGACTCCTGCAAACAGTAAATGGACAGTGTACCAACCCACAGCTCCTGGCACCCCTACATCAGTAACAAAAGGACACCATAACTTTCAATAGGCACTATTCCAACCATGATCAGACCTGGAAGACGCCAACATTGCCTTCTTTATCCTTAACCTTGCAGCCTCATGCTCTACCATGCTCCTGCTTTCAACCTAACCTCTTCTCCAGCCTACTGACAAGATAAAGCAAAACCACTTTCCCTCTTGTTGCTTCTATCCCAAATGTTGCACAGCAAAACACCCCAAACACAGCAGAGCTGTTACAATTGTCAGTGGTCACCTCAGGAACAAACAAAAGCTGGGTCTCTCTCCCAGGGGAGCCAAGGACATCCTAGCACTGCTCCCTTTTCCAGTTCAAGCTCACAAATTTCTTTGCACAGCACTGTTCATAATGGGAGAACAGTCCCACCTCCACAGACAGGACTGGTAAGGAAAACAGGTTTCCCCCCCAGTCACAACCCTGCTAAATCTTTGAGATGTTGAATAGAATTATGGAATCTGGTAATACCACAGTTCCTATTTGGAGATCAGTATCATGAATTATTCAAACAATCTCTGCTCCCAGTCCCTGTGCCCTGGGAACTGAGTGTACTCAGGCATACCAAACTGTTTTGCACAGAGAAACAGCAAAAAGGAGGATGTGTTTCAGTCACCAGCTGAGCTCCTCTTCAAGCTGGGAGATTTACCAGCACAGCTCACCACTTGAAGACTCATGGCAGTATAAGAAAACCCTGCCTTGGTTTAACAATCACAGTGTGAAGCCAGAACAACCTAAATCAAAAAAAGACACTCCAAACCAAAAATCTCTGGAAAAGGAAATTAAATCAGGACAGTTCTGTCCATAAATTTCCTCACACAGATAAAACGAGTGAAGCTACATCAGCAGTTCAAAAGCACGTTATCCCAGACTGCATCCCTTCAGTCATCTACACTGCTAGTAGATCTTACAGCAAGATCAAGTCACAGAGGTGAGTCACCTTGTAAGGAGGCTGAGCTGCTCTCTACCAGCAGCTGCTGCAGAATCTGTAGGAACTGACTCCGGAGCAGGTCACAGACAGGCACATCCTCATTTCTTTCCAGGAAGGTCCTTAGAGTCATCAACACCTTCCAAGCCACCTCCACAGAGCTTGCGCAGACCAGGTCCTGCAAGGGAAGAAGCACACATGTTACCTTTCTGCCCTGATTAGGCAGAAGTCACTGCTATTTAATACCATTATGCTAATCTAGTACCTTAGTGCTAATAAAACACTGTTCAGATGAAGTATGTCCTGATTAAAGAGAGAACTGAATGAAGCAGGCAGACTCTTATCTGATAGGCAACTCTGAATAATATCCTGTTTAAAGCATCAGTTTGGCTGCTTAACTCCCATCCAGCACACACATGCAGGGGTAACATACTTTTAAGCTCAAGGCTTTAGATAAGTGATAGCCTAAAGCCAGAGCACCAAGCTTCTGGCAGTTCTGCTCTCCTTGTTGATCAGAAGAATAAGGTTGCATATTAAAGATGCTTACCTAAAATCAAGTTTATGAGTCAGCCCATAGTTACTGATTTTCAGCAGACTGGCAGTCTTGTATCTGCAGTAGCAACTTAACAGCTGAACTGCATGAAATGTACATAAACCAAACAAGCAATCACTCCATCATAGAAAAAGGGAGAGTCGTGTACACAGCATTCAGCCCACGAGCCTGTTTCTTGACTACGGAGCTCTGCCTGGAGTCTCTGAGCTGAATTCCACAGCCAGTGTGTATGCATATATACATATAAGTATTATTTGGGCATACGTCTACTGTTAAGGTGTTTAACATAAAAATAATCTGCACAGCAGGTACAGGTGCAGTTCCATAAAGATCAGGCAGAAAATACCTGGTAGTCCTGACATAATATGATAATCTCAACATGTATTATATCAGCACTACCTTTCCTCTCCTCCCCCAGTAGTCTCGGCTACTGCATTGCAAATGGTACAGCTGAAAAGAGGTAAACAGAAAACTGGCCTCAGCAACTAAGCCTACAGCCTGCCAGGACAGCCTACTGCCTTTTCCAGCTACCTTCTCCCATCACACAGTAGTCATGCATCCAGACTGGGGTGATGGGAGAGAAAATGGCTGTGGAATCCCAAACTCAAGGAAAGCACTGAAAGTAAGAACATGCTGCCTGTGCCAGGAAAACCTCTCCAGTTCTGAGCCTGATTCCTCCCTACACCTGAGACTTTCAGGAATAAGGGGCAGGAAGCTGTCTTGGCTCCACTGACACAGATCTGTTCCATTTGACATTCAGGAATGTAATCTAATGTCAGGCAGCCTATCTTCATTCTCTGAGCCAGCACCTCAGATCTGGAGCATCAAGAATGCAAGTGGAACAGTGTGTGATCATGACCACTTTCACAACCACTTTCACCCCAGATGAACACACATACCACAGAATGGCACTAACCAAGGGCCACAGTTTTCCTGGTCAGGTAAATGCATCACTGTGTTACCATCTTCCTTCTCACTCAGGATCTCAAGGTCTCAGTAGAAGGCACAAACCATCTGTTATCTCTAATCCCAACAATTATTAAAAGCTGTTAAGCAAATAAATAATCCTTGGAAAGACATTAATTTTTGTTTCAATGTACCATGCAGAGGCCTTTCCATTTCACTAGTGCATCCTCGGGCCGAGGTTATTCACCTCATAAGTTTTGTTTACATCTGACAGTACATTTATCCCAGGATATTGCACGGTTTTATTAGCCCATCTAAATTCAGATTGATTATGCTCTTCCCCAACTGGAAGGTGAATTGTCAAAGCCTGTGATTTATTGCAACTCACTTTAAAGACCAGGACAGAGCTAAATTAATTTCTGCAAGAGCACACAGCAAGACAGAATAGGGAAAGCAGCAATGCTGTACCATTTAGGGAAGGAGCCACTGATTCTCTTTTGCTCATTGACAGACCTGTGATGTACACATCTGCTTTAGTTTATGGAGTGATAGGTTCCAGCACTACTGCCAAAGGTAACAGCACAGACAAGTTTCATGGGACACTTCTCCTTCATTTGTATTGAAATGTCAACTCATTGATCACATTACTAATGCTCTGCAATGGCATCACATGCCTGGACTCTGCTTCCTACTCTGCAGTATCACCCTAACTGTGGAAGAACAGCCCTATGCAAGAGCCCTCCTGTCAGTCATTTCAGTCACCTGGGGTATTAGAGTTTACTTTGTAGTCTCTTTGTAGACCAGAACAAATAAACCCCAGCCTGTAGTGCCCCATGAGTGCCCACTCAGAATCAGACCTTGCTTCTTCACTGTCTGCTTACGTGTGTTTCTCTTCTCAATGACATATCATTTTAATTTCTCTAACAGCCTGGAGAAGAAACCTGACAGCTCCTACCTTTTGCCCTTACAGGTAAATCACATATTCTTGTCTGGAAATGTTCCCAAGTGTTCACTATGTGACTGGCTAAACAGTCAGGGGTAAGTGGCCACTGATGGGGAGGGGTGGCAGGGGAGGTGGGAGGGGTGGAAGTGAGATAAGGCCTCTGAGCAGCCGTCAGGACCTGGATTCTGTCACAATTCTATAGTTTAACAGAGATCATTACACCAGCTAAAGGCAAACATACTAGTCCTGCTGCTTCAAGACTCCTTTCTCTCCACACTGTAATTTTCCCTGTCCCAGGATTTTTCTTTTATTTTTTAAGAGCAATTAAACACATTGTTTGCAGTCCTGAAAACTCCACACAGAGTACTGCAAAAATCTCTGACAAGACTCCCCAGTTAAAAACAAACAAAATTAAAACCCCAAGCAAACAGGAAGCCATTCCCTCAAGACCTTGTTCTCTGCACAGTGCTTTTTCAGAGTTCTTTGCTCCTCATATCATTCTCTTCTATCAGTAGTAAACCATTGCTCCCAAATTAGCAACACAGCTTCTTGAAGGGCTACCACAGAAAAATCTGGAGTACCCATCTGTGTATCTAGATAGAGAAAGGAATGGGTGTTTTCATGGCATACATCAGCAGCACCATTCAGATCCCTTCCTAGCTATCCCTCAAAAGGTCACTTTCTATCCCAGTGGATAGATGACAGAGAAAGAGCTGACACACACGCACAGTCCCATCTTCCCTATCAGACTAGGAGGTGGAAGTCTGTGTATATACACATGGGCCCTTCTAGGAGAATCCTCAGCCTCATACCAGCACTAAGAGCTTTAAGAACCAAAAAGCCCCCTAAACCAGGGCCAGGACATCAGCCTGTCCTTGTAAAGTCACATACCAGTAAAATAAGTAAAATGCTGGAATTGCTCTTCAGAATGGGAAGTAAAGGATTAGTGCTATTCAGCTGATCAGATGTGCCAAGACCAGCTTCTTCAGTCTCAGTTCGCTTGTGCTCTCCCCAGGAAAACCAAAGTTGGAGGACTTGGTGTCCAAATCTCCCCATAAGTTCAGGGTACTGCAGGAAGAATTTCAGCAGG